TCAGCCAAAATGATGTTTCGCCAATATGTTCACGATTATACAACGTATGTGCTTTAAAAGGTACTGTTACCCTTTCCACTCTGCCCCTCATTCATCCCTCATCTTCTTTGCAGCCAGAAGCATCTATTCTATTCTAGAGCCTACATCGACTTTAATAGACCAGAGGATGTTGTTGAGTTTGCGGAGTATTTTGATGGACATGTCTTCGTCAATGAGAAAGGTAACATTCAAGACATTTTGAGATCGATCCATGATGACTTGATGTCCAGTAGAAAGTTATATGATTCCTTGATATTTAATTGCATTTTTCTACTGTACATGGTAGCTTAGGTTCTGTTCTTCCATATATCATGATAAAATTTTAATTCTGTATCATGAGAAAACTTACCTTTATAATTTTATAGTGATGCATATAAGTTTTAAAAATTTGTTTTCTAAATGAGGGATTTTCCCTCTTATTTGCCTCTTCCAGGTACCCAGATTAAAACAATTGTTGAGTATGCCCCTTCACAGCGTGTTCCAAAGCAGTGGTCTAAAAAGGATGGGCGTGAAGGGACCATATTGAAAGGTGTTTTAACTTGTGTGCTGATTGCCCATGGTTTCCGTTCTATTATCTGTTTTTTTGGAATCATGGTTGATTTGTTGATATACATGCAGATCCTGAATATCAGGAGTTCCTTGAATTTCTGGCAAAGCCTGTTGAGAATCTTCCTAGTGCAGAGATACAATTGGAGAGGAAGGAGTCGGAACGAGCTGGTGAGTTGATAGTTTTAGCTTATGTGTACTCGTAAGGCAAGCTAAGGTTGCTTTTTTTTTTTTTTTTTTTTTTCAGTTTAAATGATTTCCTGATTTCTTTTTAGGTGCTCCAAAGGATCCTCCTATAGTTACTCCTTTAATGGACTTTGTTCGTCAGAAAAGAGCTGCAAAGAGTGGAACTCGGGTAGGAAATCTTACCATTCGTTTCCCTTTTTCAAGGAAATATATATTTTTATCTAGGTGGCTAACTGATGAGGACCAATGAATGCTGGCGTTATTTCTATATAAAGTTATCTGGATCATCACATTTGTTCTTGCTTGGCATTGGAGCTTGTATCAGTTTCATTTTTATGGCATGTCCTATAATTATCAAGTCTCTGAAAACAAGGAAATACTTTATACTCGGGTTTTCTTTTTGATCAACACTGCTATGTATCCATCTGTTTAGTTTAAAAAATGGTAGCAACGGTCATATATAATTTCAGAGTATTATTTCATGTGTAGCCTGGAAAGCAGATCTACAGTATAGAGAATGGGGCTTGAGAGAGAGATTAATGATATTCTCAAGAACTTACTGATAATATTTACTATAATGGTTGAATCGAGGACTAATTGTCTCTGCTACAGGGAGCTTTTGTTGGAAATCTGGAGTTAGGGGAAAAATGTGGGAGATTTCTTGGACTGCATAATCACTATTTGTGTATATTTTTCTGTTCTAAATTTTTTTATGGGTAGGAAAGGGTGGGGGTTGTTTAATCTAGGAGTGTGAATGGAATTGCTCTTTAACTGCTCTCTTCGCTACCACAACCTAAAGTTGGAAAAAGCCCCGAATCCCTGCATCCTATGCGACTGAATTATTACTTAGTGTTCTTCTGAGTTGTCGTAATGGGAAATATTAGGAGTGGGTTCATTTTAAATCATTAAATATATAGTTTGCTGTGGAAGGTGTTGATCAATTTGGTTATAGGCGATTGATAGTGGAAATCTATTCCTGAAAGTTTTTGATAACTCCTCTCTCTCTCTCTCTTCCTTCATGCACTTTTGCACACGGACAAAAATATGTTTTCATAATGAGTTTTTAGTGGCAACAATTAATTTTTATTTTTTTAAGATTTCTGAGTGTGTTCCTTTTCGTGAGTAGAATATAAGATTATATCTTTATATTTTTCTGTTGTCTTACTCCTTTGGGGACCTTTATAGCAAGTCCTAAAACATTTCCATAATTTTTTCTCAATCGGGGATAGAGATCCGTGTTGAATGGGAAGCCACCTAAAAGGAGCAGTGGAGCATCATCTAGGACTCCTAGCTCAGGTTCTTCAAGAAGAGGATCAGAGAAGAGGACTTCCACCAACATGGTAAACTGTTTTATTTATTATTTACCCATGTTCTAAAAAGTGCGAGTAGGTGCGTAGCCTTGCCGCATAGCCACACTTCATATACATTTTAACGCCTAGGCTTCAACTAGGCCTGCTTAGGCTTGTAAAAGATTAAGCCTGCCTTGCCGTGTAGCAATGCTTTATGCAGTTTAGAACACTGTTATTTACTATTGACACAAAGGGTAGATGCTCATAACGTGGAGCCTTGGTTTATTTTCATCTTCGGATTTCTTTGTGGTTGGCATTAAGCTCTATTTTACCATGTATTATGTATGACACAACACGATTCTTTCATTTTTCTCGTCAAACTTTCATTACATTTGACTGTTAAAATACTATATGAAATCTAACATAATTCGCTTGCTACTAATGCTTGCACGAGGTCTTATTTGTATTTATGGAAGTAAAACATTTTAATTTTGAGTGCTATAGTGTTTTGAGTTCTATTTCTACTTGATGGTTAACATGAATTATACATATTTAGTTGCTGATGTGTTGGCCGTGGTATTTATGGATCTCTACGTGTTTTTTTCCTAATTAACATAAATGGATACGTTTGTTAAGAGTATCTCCAAGATGCTCTTTATTAACCATATCCTCTCTATTTTAGAGAGTCAACTCTCTTCTCAAACTCTTTATTTTCAAAAATTAAATAAAGAGTGGTTTTAATGCTCCATATGTATAGAGCCAAACCACTCTATATAAAATCTTCAATGCTTTCATTCACTGTTTCACAATTATCTTTGCACTTCTTTAGAGTGGAAACAAATTAAAAAAGGAGATAATGTTGATCAATAATTGCTTATGGGAAAAGTTAAGATACAGATAAATATAATGAGTGTTGTTGGACTTGTCAAATTTGTACTCTTTATTTTTAAAATTATTCATGATGCTCTTTAATTGGGAAAATGTGCTCTTTAAAAATAAAGAGCACTGTTAAAGATGCTCTAAATGATAGAATTGTCAATGATCTATCTTTTACATTCTCTAGTACTTCTACTTGATTTTATTTGTTGTGATATAGAATCACTAAAGAAGCCAATTTTTTAGGATTCATGGATGTTTTCATTAACCTGTCACTCTCTGAACTGTCTTATCAACAGTATGTTTCAAGGGACAGCTCAAAATCAGTGAGTGGCAAAGACAAATCTTCATATATACTGGTCAAACGAGGTGATCAGCAGTTCTCTGATACGTCTGTTACTTTAAATGCTGCATCTGGAACTGCTGCATTAGAAGAAGAAAGTGGTATGGCACACTGTTGGATTCTTGATTATTAAATATGTACTATCTATATGAGGTTATTATAATCGTTTAAACAATCTCATTGCCATTCACTTCTGTAACATGCAAGTTTTAATTTTGCAAGTTCTTTGTTGACTTCAAATGAGCAGAAGCTATATTTATCATTTTCAAAGTGTTTGATTTTAAACTGTGGATTGTTGCTAAATGATGCTGAAATGAAATACAATATAACCTCTTTAAGAAATTGGAAAATGTGAGAACCGCAGTTGTCGGTTGGAAATGCTGGTGTTCAATGGAGAAGATCCTGATGGGTGGGTTTTTTGAGCAGAAAGGTCCTTTAATATAAACCAGCATACAAATTGGGAGAAGATTGAAGCAGCCAGAATTTGTTTTGAGGGTGAAGCACTTGCCTAGTTTCTCTAGGAAAATGGCTGGCAGCCTCTTCCGAATTGGGAGGATATGAAAATTCTTTTGCTAGCCAGATTCCGTTCGTCGCAAGAGGGTACCATCTTGGAGAAGTTCTTGGCATTGAAGTAGGATGGGGCAGTGAAGGAATATCGCCACAAGTTTGAGATTTTCACCGCTTCTCTTTCGGAGATTCCAGAAACAGTGTTAGAGGAAAACTTCATAAATGGGCTGAGCCCAATGATAAGGGCGAAGGTTAGGATGCTCAACCCTCAAGGGCTGGGCCATATCATGGAATTGGCCTAGCAGGTCGAGGGTCGAAATGAATCAGTGCAGAGGTCGCATTTGTGGATTGGCCCATCCCGTAAAAGAAGCCCAACTTATAATCAGTTTGTTAGCCCAGCTTTGAGCAACCCCATTTACACCAATATTCCCTCCAAAGCAGTACACGTGACACTGCAATCACATCCTGACACCACAATCACATCCATTGGCTCTTACGGCCACTCCCGAATCTATGGCAGCCAAGATCCAGAGACTGTTGACAGCATTGAAGCTGGAAAATTCTTTCAAGTGCTTGACCGATGCTGAATTCCAGTTGAAGAGGGAAAAGGGTCTCCATTATTGTTGCGACGAAAGGTATATTTTCGGTTATAAGTGTAAAAATCTTGAGCTACAAGTATTAGTGGTGCAGGAGGAAGGAAGCAATGAACTCGAGGAAGTTTGTGAGGAGAAGGACAAGGTAGGCAATATGGTGGAATTATCAGTTAAATAAGTCGTGGGGCTGATCGTCCCATAAACCATGTCTTAATTGATTGTGGGGCTACCCACAATTTCATCTCTAGTGAGATTGTTTGACAATTAGCATTACTGGTCAGGCGGTCACGGGGTTAGCGAGTTATGGGGTCCTCATTGGGAGTGGTTTGTCAGTGAAGGGTGAAGGAATTTGTAAAGGGGTTGTGGTCTTCTTGCAAAATATTATGGTTGTTGAGGACTTCTTATGAAATTGGGGTGTACAGACATTATTTTTGGGGTGAAATGGTTGGAATCCTAAGGCAAAATGCAGGTGAATTGGGGAACATTGACGATACGCTTTAAGGTAAGGAGGGAAGCTTATTATGCTGCATGGCGATCTCAGTTTAGATACAACTCAAGTGTCGTTGAAGACATTGGTGAAGTTGTTTGAGGGGGAGCAGGTATTTTGCTTGAGTTGGGAAGTTTAGAAGTTGGAGCAGGGGATACCATGACTGAGATTCCCAGCATTTGTGAAGAATTGCTACAGCACCATCGCAAGGTCTTCAAATGGCCCAATGAACTTCCTCCCCAACGATCTAGGGATCATTCCATCATCTTACGGCCAGGTGCGGCACCGATAAACGTGCGACTGTAGTGGTACCCGTATGTACGGAAGAATGAAATTGAGAAGTTGGTTAAAGACATGCTGACTGGGATTATTCAGCCTAGTTTTAGTCCATTTTCAAGCCCTATCTTGCTGGTGAAGAAAAAAGATAGGTTCGTACTTGTCTTTTTTGATGACATTTTGGTCTATAGTCAGTTAGTGGAAGAGCACTTGCAACACTTGGGAACCCTACAAGACTACTAGCTTTACGCCAACAAGAAAGTGTTTGTTCGGTCATGTGATTTTTGAAAAAGGGGTGGTTGCCGATTGGTA